TCTCCAAAATATTGACTTAATTTCTCTTTCAGTTTCCATGAATACACCTCAACATGCATTCCCAAACTTGACAAATTCTTTTCAAATTCCATCCTTACTTGAGATAATGTTTTTACAGATTTACTCCTGGAAAGTATTGTTTCTTGAATGTTAGACACAAGTTGCTTAAAGGCCTTGTCATATTCTGAGTCTCCCTTGTCATGGTCAAACTTTCTCCTTGCTGCTGTAATGTTTCGTTCTGAGATGTATGCAGCATAACAAGAACGGTGGTACTTTGCATCGAAGGCAAACAAGTCAGAATAGGTTGTCATAATGAGAATAACCGTTTCATCATTTCTAGCAATAGCGCAGCCAATACCTTTTCATGTGTACTCTGCCCTGTTCCTGTGGCAATCTGTGTTAGTTTCTCACCCTTTTTCCACCCTTTGCTACAAATGAAGCAATGTTGCCGGATGTTAAATGATGATGTGTCATTTCTGCTTTTGCTGGTGTTGTTGTATATGGATTCATCAGACTGTGTGTTGTCAGATATTTGACTGTTGTCTACATGTACATGCTTCAAATTGGATTTGCTGGTATACGATGATGCTCGACAAGACTTGTGAAAAGCAACTTCAATAGTCCCTGTCAAAATATCATCTTTGAATGGCAATAGATGATGATACACTTCATCCAGACGCATTTCAGAAGCTGTAAACAATGCTTGCAGTCCATCTACTGTGGGTTTTCTTACAATATTTGATGCCTCTTTCCCTTTTTCCCCAAGCTGTCTATGACAGAGAATACAGGACTGGGCGGATTCTTTTGGCAGGTGGTGCCAAATCCATCCTTATATTGTTTACACAATAATGAGCATCATAGTCCAACTTACATTGATCACTGAAACTTCACTGTGTTCAATATCTATGTCATCACAGACAGAGCAGTCACTAATACTCCATATTGATAGCAGAAGTTGGGAAATCACTCTCAACAAACACTGCCAAATTTAGTAATAATGAAGCGCCCATAAAATCTTGGGTGAAACTTTATGAATGGACAGTGTTTTTGAGAATGGTTGTTTGACCTAGTCACAGTTGGTAATGGTAACATACCTTCAAATAAATTAATGCCCTCTACATGTGCTATCATATGAGTGTAAACAGGGCTTTCTGTGTCATTCTGAAAATTATTTATGATTAATGAAAACTATCAATTATTTTTTCTGCACTAACTGATGCATTAAATAATTCATTGTGTCCATCGGTGGCTTCAATAGAGTTAATGATTAGTACTGAAAGAATTGATGAACATTACAGATCATTTTAAAAAAAAGATGAGAGTTGTACCCCATCAAATAATGTTGTAGTGGGTGGTTAAGTGAACCTCCCGTCCGAAACATATTTTGCTCTTGTAACCATGGAAACAGAGCATTATATATATTACATACCAATTTCATATGACCACAACCATACTTTTCTTGAAGAATACACATATATGTACAAGAAAATATAGGTTGTGTCTTGTTATACCATCGGTTGGGGTTGCTCCTATTTTTATAGGCCTTTTGAAGAATGGCCACTGGACTATAAGTAGAGATGAGAAACTTCCACTCAGCCAACATTGATTTATCCCCTGTCCTCAGAGAACTGTTGGTTTCAGCAAGAGCTACCGGCACTGATATAAGATTTAAGATGTTGTCAAGATCAACAACACGTCCAGCTGCATATGACATGATGAAACACTGAAAAACATTTCTGTCTGCCTACATCACAGTTCCGTTATTCCTGGCGGCATGCTTCTGGACAACATCATATAGGTTCCCAAATGTTGAACAATTGTTGAACCCATTGTCAATGGGTTGTATATGGTTCGTCTTCCAGGTGATTCTGTGCTACTTGAGTAGTCGACAGCTTACACAGTCATCAATCTGTTGCTGACAAAGAACTCTTGCATCTCCATGTAACTCAACCAAACAGAATTTCTATTTTCTTCTCTCTTCTTTGCTTTGAATTCTTCCATCAACCTGGATTCGGACAACAAATGCAGTAAGACCAGGGGGCTGGAGGCAGCTTCAGATATAGTATTAACCCCCTGGCTGCCGAGATTTTTTTCAGGCGCACATTTTCATATGCTTTGAAAAGTGAACGTTGTGCGAGAATTGCGCTCGCGTGGTGCTGGATCTACGTACGGCTATAAAATTACACAGAAATGTAGAATATTAAATTTCCTATCCGTTGGTATAAATATAAGTGATTATATTATCGAAAACAATGATAGTGAATCATAAAACGTTTCCGACAAACGCGCACCTGGCCAATCAATATACATCATTGTTTTCTCTATAAAACGACACAAAAATGTGTAATGAACAAGACAATTCCTTTAAATGTGTGTGCATATACATTTCATAACATACATAAATCATTTTCATTAAATATTATCAGTTTTACATATAAGGTTTAATCAAATCGCCGTTCATTAACCTGCTCATGTGAAACTGCAATATTAGTTCAAATGCATTGAATATTGTACATCATAGGAACTAAAGTAATTGCAGTTATGGCTACGTTTGATCTTCTAACACTTGTGTAAAGGTTTAGAATATGGTGTACTGCAGTAAATGTGTCAATTTCTTATGTAAATATGATTCAAACAATCAAAAACTTTCAAAGAATAAAACACCGTGAAATCCTATATGCACGTTATGATATGATATTGGACAAGGCTAAATGTAGATACTGAGGTCAGTTTCATAAAAAAGTATCTGAACTATCCGCAAAATATACATCATAATACTGACAGTGTAATCGGAAGGATTGGACGATTGTGTTTACCCTTGTTCAACCAACCTTCACCTCAAAGAAATTGCCTAATATGTACAACAATGTTGACGTATGACATCACTATCGTTGACCTATTTCTTACAAAATGGCGGCTTTGCTGTCAAGGATACACAGGATTTTGCGAGGATCCTTCCATTGATTCAGGGATCGTTTGTACATAAATGTGACATGTAAGTAATCAGAATGATTCTGACTATCTGTGTATTGTTATATGTATTTATCGCTTTCACCGTAAGTAAGAGAAGAAGCCAGAAATACTGATAATTACAGTTGTCGCTCTGCATGATTTTCGTCAGTCATGGCGTCCACGATGCACGGAAACTTTGACAATTTCTTATGAATTATCAAATCATTGCATTGTATCTATTTATAATTTCCTATTTCTTACTACGATACTCTTTCCATGCATATTCCAAAGGTATTGAGCCATTGCAAGCAATGAATAGACGGATGAATGTTGAAAAATTTCAGAAAATGCTACGCAGTGTAAAATCGAATTTGTCTTTGTTTACATTTCGAACCAGGGCAGTCTTTCGAGCACAGCCGTTCGCTTTCACAACCAATATGTTTCGGCCTCATTTTATCTGGACAGTTGGTATTGGTGACAAAGACCAGTTGCAATTTGTTTCTAAAATGTATGGGGAATTCAGTGATGCATTTTTCGAAGCTGAATATGAAATATACGTGATGTAATAGGCGCCTCAACACCGGCCTTCGAAAACGTGATTTTGTAAACACTATCCAATATGGCGGAAAGCTCTCACGGCGTTCGTGGTAAGTGCATTTTCGAAAACATCCCAACCGATTCTAGATTCATCGGCAACGCTTCAGAATTATAATTAGCGATTTCATGTAAAAGTGATATCAGTGATCATGAGTATGTTAATTTTGAAATTCAATACTCCCAGTAATTATCCGATTTTCACATTTCAAAACATACAGCAAATAACGCTGTGAATCGCGATTTCGTACTGTGGCAAAAATGGCGACATTTTCGATGAAGCCTATTTTGAAAGGTCATTTTCAGCACTTGAGCTTTGTCTAAAATAATATTGGGATGGTATCAAGAAACAGGAAATGTCCCGCAGAATTCGAAACTGTGAAGTGTATTTGTGTGCGTGGGATATTTTGATTTTTATTGGACTTGAAATTGAGGGTTGAAAGGGAAGGACATATATGTCCCTGTGGCATCCAGGGGGTTAAACAGTTTCCTGTCAGTATTCTTCAGACTGACTGACTGACTGAGTTTGGTTTTACGCCGCTTTTAGCAATATTCCAGCAACATCACGACGGGGGACACCAGAAATGGGCTTCACATATTGTGCCCAGTATTCTTCAGAAATGCAGAGAGATGTGGTCTTGAAAGTAGATACATTATTCCATTAAGAATTTACAAAAATATTGATGTAATGTTAAAGGAGGAATATTTACAATAATTGCTGCTAACCATCCGAACTATGTAATAACTAAAACTTTTTGTTAATAACTTATTCCAAATAATCTATGACAATTTTGATAAAATACATTTGAAAAAAAATTGGGATAATTTTATTTTTTTTTTAACAAAATCAAATTAAGCATTTTCAATGAAAGGCATTCTATACCTTTTGGGGACAACAATATTAACATTTTAATTGCACAGTGGTCATTTATATAAGTTAATCTTAAGCATTCAGTATTGTTTTCACTGAAAAGGATATTTTGTGGCCATTTTGTTTTTGAATTTTGAGGGTCAAAAACATTTTTATCAACTTGGAATCCTATTTAATCATGATCAACACTGTTGAAATGTCTTAAAAAGTGAAGTTTCAAAAATTAAAAATTAGAGATACAGTCATGGCCGAAAATAATGTGCACACTTACCACTATTTTAGGCCATTTTGGCCAAAATGGTGGCCATTTTGATTTTTCAATTTTGCGGGTCAAAACACTATTTTCAGCTTGGTATCCTATTTTTTCAAGATCAGCACCCCTTAAATAGGTAAATTAGCCTGGACACCAAATCATACTAAAAAATGCCTCATGCAAGATCTTATATTTGAGCCCTTTTCAAGAATCGGGCCTAGTCTATAACAGGTTTGTTTGCTTACACTAAATATCTTAATAGAAACAAAAAGCATACCTGTTGAAAACAGTCGCTGCAATATGTATATATGCACCATCATGGTAACTTACCCCACAGTTCTGAAAGAAAGAAATGAACAAAATTAAACTGATCATTAAGTTAAGATTAATCGTTCATTGTATTCAGTTCAATTCCATTTATATTTAGGCTTAAGTCCTCGATAGGACTGATGCCACACACTCCTGTGCCATTTCGGCAATTGAACGTGAAACCCACTTCAATATTTATTTCACAGCTAAACCTGTCAGTGAAAATTGAACAACATTATACAGGACATATGTAAAGGCTGGATATTTTGTCCCAGTCCATTGTACAAGTAACCCAATATCCTGCCTTTTACCAATTACATGATATGGTTTTGAGGCTGTGTTCCATAGCAACAGTTTTCAGTCAGTCATATGACAGGGGCAAGTGTGAGCGTGACAACATAGCCCCTGAAATCTTCCTCTTTCTGCCAACAACATAGCCCCTGAAAAATTCCTCTTTCTGCCTGCCCTGTCGAGGTGACAACAACCAATCTCTGGATTGTATTTTTAGGTAAGAAGACCAGTTTGTGTCCAAATTGCAACCAGGTCTTCTGTATTAAATTTCAATACATAGTCTCGGCTCGCAAATTCCACTCGTATTGACGAGTAAAATTTGTTTGGGGCAAGTGCAAAACATAATTTGCTTGTCCTAGAGGATGAGTATATTTACTGACCCAACTATTTTGCAAAACAATAAGTTTAAGTTTTAACATCGTCATTCCCGATTAGCAGAATTTCCAAATTTCTTGAAAACTAACCACAAAGTTTAGGTCTTGATGTGCGTTTGGTATCCATTTTTAACAGACATCATGCAGAGTGGTTTTGTAATCTAAATGCTTCGAATATTGTGATTGGCTGCTATTAATGAACTGACCAATGAGAAAAATCATCACAACATGAATGGTACTGCTGTCGAATCAGAATAAGCTTTATAATAGGGAATTCCCTGCTTGTTATTACCGATCCTTTTCATCGTAGTCAACTTTTCTTTTGGCTGATGCTTTGTTTTTATTATTATACATAAGTAATTTCCAGGTTAGATAAAATACTTGATATATTTTACCACATACACTAAACTGAAAATCAGATTAACTCATTAAGGCCGAGAGAGACGCACATATGCGACAAATAAATTAGCTTCTCACAGTGAGAGCCGCACATGTGCAACAACAGAAAGCACCTCTTATTCAGCGATAGCCGCACATAGGCGACAACAAAAAGCACCTCTTATTCAGCGAGAGACGCACATGTGTGTCATACTTTTAAAAATCGCACTGTACTTATCATTTCAACCAATTTAGTAGTACTGAGCAAAGATGAGCTTTTCGCACGAGAGTTGCTACCTTTAGCGTTAATTAGAAGAAGTATTGAAAGTGTTTTAATACCAATTGCTAATCATTATCATAGGCTTATACAGCGTTTGGCAAATGAACACATGTCGGCGAGAAGGGGATTATGGGATGTTTTTTACAGTGGAAAGTGTCTGGTACTCTTCATTGGGAATGGATACTAAAATACTTCTTATGCACATTGATTGCATTAGATGTAATGGTTTAGAGGTTACTGAAGATTATATTTTCTTCAAATACCTAATAAATAGAAAACAATATATAAAATTTAAAGAACATATAAAGAATTCAAACACAATAGAATAGTTTGAATTTACTTTCTAGGTATTATTACATTGTCATGTTTCATATAATGAATCTAATCTAATTTGATAATGTTACCTAATCGAATATAAAGTGATAGTCCCTTTGCATCGAATATAGCCCCATTGTGTATACTACTACTGAGGTGCATACTCAAATTTGATGAAAATCGGTCGAATAGTTTCTGAAATATTGACTTTTAAGTGAGCATGGGGTCGGTCGGGAAAGGCAAAATGTCCAACTTTTTGTTGTAATTAAGTCTTAATTAATCTAATGAAGTCATCGAGAGTGTTCCCAATGCCGTTTTGCTATAGCGTAACCATCTGCTGAGATGCATGCAAAATTTCACGAAAATCGGTCAAATAGTTTAGGAAATAATCACTTTTTAGTGAGCATGGGGTCGGTCTGGCGAAAGGCTAACAATCCAACGTATTATCATACTTGTTATATATTATCGAGGCGAGAGGTGTTTTTAGCTGAATAAAGCGCAGGCCTCGGAAGTCATCACCTTGCTACCGTCTCAGGGGTTGCTTTGAGCGAGCGCCGTGGACGAGTATAAGTGTGTGTGTGCGTGTCTCGGCTGGCTATGATGATGATGCACGGCCGGCTGACTAGCGAGGCTACTGATGTCTGAAAGTGAATGAAACGCATCTCTTGGCAGTTCCCCCCAGGTCGTCGTCTCGGTATCACCGAGCGAGCGCTGTGGGCGAGTCGCAGTGTGTGGCTCAGCTAGGCTTGTACAGCTTGCTGTAGAGCTGGCTGGCAACGTTACGTTGATTTCCACTTATCATACCGCATCTCTCAGCAGTTCCCCCAGATCGACTCGCTGCCGTCTCGGTAGCATTGAGCGAGCGCTGTGGGCGATTCACAGTGTGTATGTCTCGGCTCGGCTATTTACCTACAGCTCGCTGAGATGGCTGGCTACGTTATGTTGATGTCCGTGAAACAGTTTATTGTGAATCTCCTATGATTTGTTTGGTTGTCGTAATGAAGGCTTGTCGGGCCTGTTGCTTTCCCTTGTTCTATGAAATTTTTTTTTTCTCGTCTTCGCAAATGACGGCGTTTTTACGAGACTTGGTCCGAATCTCTTGTTTCATTCTGTGATATTTTGCGATTTCTGATAGCACCAAACGAAACTCTTCTTCAGAGATTTTAGAGTCGGTGAGCGTGGTGGAAATATGATCGTCTATCGTGTTTAACTTCGCTTCGGCTAGAATTCTAATTTTGGCGTGTTTCAATGCTTTACGTTGCAGTCTGCGAGACACGAACTTAAGGGTCAATCCCATCAACCCTGCCACTCCGGCTGTTATTTCGATGCCTAGCACCACGGGTGCAGCCACGATGGTGGATAATAACCCGATACCTGCTACGCCTAATCCCATGCTGACTGAAACCAGAGCGCTGTCAACACCGTCCACGGAATTGACGGCCCTGTGATATTTTTTCTGTAATGCCGACCGCGTATCGCGTTCACGTTCTAGTTGTTGTTTGATCTCGCATATCTGTCGCAAACGAAACCCGTCTACGGTTTCCAGTGTTTTCGCCACTTCATCCACGACCGGGTACAGTCCCATTCTGTATATATACTCTTTTTATAAAATAGTATTTAATTGGTCCTCAGTCAATGTTTGATGAATATACTTTAAGCTGATGAGGTACAAGTTTTCATATATATAAATGGTCTGGAGTTCAATAAAATTCTTTTGAAATATCATAATATCTAGGTTTGCGGTGGGGTTCTTCCTGGTTGTATACAAATACGACAACGTTTTTGTTGATGGCGATCATGCCAGCGTATTTTTAACCCATGCAGAAGGTTTATATCTACTCCGGGGCATCTCCAAGAAATACTTCGATAATAAGAGTAGAACCTTGTATCATACTGATCCACGAGTCTGGCACATCAGTATATTTTAGTAAAAATAACGCTGCTTTTTTCTCATTGGGGACTAACATGTTAGCCGTTTGATCTGGTAATGGCGCTACGCTCATCCACGTTCTTCTTCCAGGATCAAACCTCCCCAGCAGTATCCCGTTATTTTTAGCGAGACGCCACCATCATTATTATCCATGATAAGATAGGGTAGGTCAGGACCAGGTTAATAATCCAGTTCAACTGAGATTCGATGATGACTTCTCGTCGTTTGTACACGTTATCTTGTAAGCGCATGGCGTACAAGGTGTTTTCCTCGCCGGGCAGATCGAATCCCCGCGTGTCCCTGAGATCGGCTAGCGTGACGTTGGGATGATGATGGTTCATCTCGTTTATATATAATGTATTACGAAATGGTTTTCAATTGGTTATCGGATAATTCCTCGGACGTGCACTTCAAACCCATGAGATGTATGTTGTCGAGTAGGAAAATTTTGGTGAGCGATATCGTGTCTTCCACGGTCACGGTGACTCCCTGCATACTGGTGTAGGTGTTAACGTTCACCCGCACGTAAACGGAGCAAACTTGGTATTGTTGTTGTTTGGCCCAGCGGAGTTTGATCCCTTTCACGATTTCGACGACGTTACACGCGCCGACGGCGGTTCGCCGAGGTAGACTTGGATGTACAGCGTGGATTTCGCCGGCAGATTTTCCAGGACGTTTACCACGCTGTCGAATTCCGACACCATCTGCAATCCCACGTTTTGCATCCCGGGTTTGCTCGACAGCATGTGGGCTACTCTTTGCCTCAATGTGCTGACGATCATGCTGCGTCTTTGCGTAGGGACGTAAGCCACGAGCAGCGTTCCGTTGTTCATGACTTTCGTCAGGTAGTGATCTTTGTTGTCCGTGAAAACGTGGGGAGAGTCGAGCGTGATGTTGAGATTCCAGTCGATTTGGGATGGCACTAATACCCATTTGTTGTCGTCGTTGAAGATGAGAGTGTACTGCATGTTTCTGGAGACGGCCGTGGTCTCGACGTCGTCCAGGTGGAACAGCCTGCCACGGAAGGCTGGGGTTATCGTCCATTCGTCCTTGTTGCCTATCAGGTCATACCGAGTGTTGTTGACCGCTCCTTCGGTATCGGCGAAATCCCCTAGGTCATTGCCGCCGCCACCACCACCAACGGCAGTAGAGGGCAGCAGTTCGACGCGTTTGTAAATGCTGTTTTTCAGTTGCAAGGCGTACAGTTTGCCGTCGACTCCGGGTTCGTCGAATCCGCGCGTGTCACCGAGGTCGGAGATTGCTATGTTGGAGCATTTTCTAACGTGTGTTCCTGGACCATGAGACTCCGTCATTGCCGTATGTGCAGCGTCGCGCTGAGATATCCTATACATATGGGATCGTGTTTAACATCTAAAACCGATATTTTCAATTCCGTGATGTTGCCTCGGATTAATTTCTTGTAATGCCGCGACGAAAACGATTCGGTTCTGCCGTCGTTGTA